TTTGAAAAATCAAAGTTGCTACTGCTTTCTAATAGAAGCGGCAACACCGCATTGTCGAAAATATTTTAGTTGGCTAGAGAATGTCCGAATATGCCCTCCATTAAATTTTCAAAGTGATCCGTTGTCTGGTTCACCAGAAACGTCTAATGTGCCATCCACCGTGAATCAGCCTGTATAGCATAAATAGGGTTAGCTTCGCATTAGTTTCTAGTTTTAATCTTCCTCTTTGAAGATGATCACTTGGTGATCGAAACACGTGTCGAGGTGTTAAAAATTACGATTTGGTGTTGGGAAAAATCTCCAGTAATATTTATGCATTACAAATAAAAAAGAGCCTTCCACTGTCTCTCACTAGGTGAATCATTGCCTTTTTATGTTTCAATCACGCCTCGTACCCGAAAATAATCTATGCTCAACAAGTTTTGTAGAAAAAAAATCAAAACTCACCGTCTGATTCACACTTTCAACATTACATTCATCGTCGACCGATACTGCATGGTCGTGATTATCATTTTCTATTGCCGTATGGTTAACCATAGCGACTATAGCTACAGACATGTTCGTTCTCATGATGTAAGCATTTGCCATGCCGAGGAATAGCATGAACGTTACGAAGTGCCTTGTCCCAAACCATCCTGAAACAAAAAGAATGAGTTTCATTAAAAGTCACATATACATCTGTAATGTTGGTCAAAGGCGTAGGACATTTTCCAGTAGATTGAAAGAACATAGCAGTGTTTCGAATAAGCACACCAGTTCAATAACTTGTCACCCAACTTTTGACCAAAGATCATAATTCAACCACGATTATGGAAGAGTATTCTCAGATGAGATAAGTAATAAACTTGATCCTTTAGGATATAGACAAATGAAAAATGTCAAGCGGCGAATTAGCTATATACCCTAATTAAACTATACGGCCAGAATAAGATGACTAACAGCGCAAATTTGAAGGAGTCTCCATTTCTACATACAAACGTCATTTCTAAGATGAAACCGGAGCCTCCAAAGACAAAGAATTCATGATCTGTCGATTCAATTGACTTTATTTTCTCAGTCTGGTCCTTCGTTTATTCACCATAATTACAAGGATGATCTCAATAATTACAAAATAATACAAAAGTATACATAACCTCACCTTTTATGATAAAATATAATGATCTGCCTTATCAAAAGCTTTTCGGATATCTGTATAGTGTCGAGTTGAGACGTTTTCTCTAGTATCTTCTATGTTTTATGAAAGAAAGTTAATAGATTGGACCCTATACTACTACTTCTGCTTCGTAGAAAACAGTTTTGCTCAGGATTGATATACTTTTCAACAAAATGATATAATCTGTTGTATACAATGTGGACAAATAATTCAGCTGGGGCACACATGGTAGATATGATTCATCAACATTCTTCCGTATATTACGTTTTGTAGGGAGTCTGTGAAAGATATTTGTTTCAATGCTATAACGAATGTAAAAAGTTACTTTCATGTAGGTAATTCATTGTTCATGTGAAAGTAGTTCTTTCGAAAGGAGTTTTTCCTCCAGTTTCATGAAGACTTTTTTGTAGCTATTTTCTATTTTTTTTCTTTAGCAGTTTGCAACATTTTTTTTTAATGATAGAGAAGTATTTGTGGTGCAGCCTAGCATCACTGACGATACCTGGGGATTGGCCGAAACATAGCTGTCTGGTGTTGGATCGCAAATATTTTAGTTTTGGTTTTTGGTTTTGACTTTTAGTTGTGGAGTGAATAAGTCAAGAATCTCTTTCAATTTGGACTTGAAATAAATCAAACTTGATAGTAGGTATTTTTTTCTTTCAATTGTATCTTCCACAAATTCCTTCATTCGAAGCTATTGTCAAATGTTACGTACGGCAAGAATGTGAGTTAAGATACAAGAATCATAAACAGATTCATATTTAAAATCGGGCAATTTGTTTAAATTAGTCGATTGCTATTGTCGGTTTCGTATATAAATAGCTGATATGTTTGATTATTTGGCACTTTTAACCATCAAGGTTATATTAGTTGCGGTTTAGTGTCATGACTTAAGTAGATGGAAAATTATTGATTATGAATACGGAACACTGTGAAAATGTATCAATTCTTAATGTTCATTTTCATTCAGACAAAACTAATATTTCATATATTTATCAATGATTTGTTATTACGGTTAACTTTACAATTAGTTGAACAGTTGACTATATCAATCTTTCGTCACTATCGAGATTAAATTTTATGGCAGGATCACATAAACACAAATAATGGTAGGTTTTGCAAAACCCTTTGATGAGGAAAATATGATATCTACATGTACTACTGAATGAAGCTACTGGCTGGCTTTTTATTTGGTTTAATAGATTACGAAAAATAATTTGTCTCTGAAGATTTTCGAGGATCTGCCCTGTTAGAAAAGCTTGAGTTTTGTTATGAAAATACTGTGATAATTAATGAGAGAATATCAAAGAACAAAGTTATAATAATTCCAATTAAATTTTAGGTATGTTATTTACTAACTGATCAGTCGGACAGTCAGTTTCGTAGCCAGGAATTTCGTTCGGGGGTCCAAAACCAGGATTAAAAAACTGGGTATTAAATAGAGGGTTTTAAACTTATTTTAACACTTTTCATAATCGAAAAAACTTCATATTTCAAAGAAATAATTTTTAAATCAATAGTTGTTCAATATTTTTATTTCGTTTATGATGAAGCAAAGTCGGTAGACGGGCAGTTCGACGTGGGTGCTTTGCTTACTCAGTCAATCGGCCGATATGTGAGTCGATAGTTCAAGCCCCAGGCTGAACGCTCGATTTTCACTTGCTATCGTCCAACCCGTGTTAGAAAAACACAAGGTAATAAGTAACGCCTCGTAAGTCCTTAGCTCGCACAAGTTTCGATTTCTGAGGGTTGTCGTTCGTAGGGGTGCGATAGCTGGTTAACGGAAAAAACATATTTTAAACATATTTTTGATTGTGTTTTATCCAAATAAACATAAATATAGTGTTGTAGTTTGTCCAGAGCTTCAAAATCTTTCAAATAGATAAGTAAGGCAACAGTGTAGAGCATTAGTTAAAATACATTTATAACGTTCAACATTACATGAATGAATTTAACAAAATAATGGTCTAAGTTACAGCACCAATCTCCTATTCCACTTCTGGAAAAACAAACTAACAATAGTATGATAATTTAATGTTTGCAGACATGCTCCATGCTTAATTTATTTTTCAATATGTCTTAAAATTTCGGGGGGTCGGACCCCCGGACCATCCCCCCTTCGCTACGCCACGGCGGGAAGTTATCTAAATTCGACGTGCTTAGGAAAAAGTGTAATGAAATCATGATAGTCTTTTTACACTTCATATTTACACTTAAAAAAATCATTGAAGTTTGGAGCGGTATTAAAACTCCATACATCTGTTTACGAAGTAATCGTTCTAATTCATAACCCCTTCATCGTTTGGTTCACAGGATGTTTTCATTCAGTACAAAGCAACCGAAACAGTAATAGAGGAATTGAAGGTAACTCATATTCAAATTGAACTGAGAGCTAACGGCAACAATGTTAAATATTAGAACTAAATTCTTATCGGGGTCATTTTCATATTCATAAATTCATATCGGGGTCTATGCATCGCCGTTGTAAATAATTGAGAAGTAAGATGATTCCATAAAATTTGCCCCCCGTAACAAGATAGCTTCTGCATATCGATAGGATGTACGAGCGAATAGGTGAACCAGTTCGTTAAATACTTTGAAACATCGGTAAACTGATCAACACTTCGCAGGTCTGTTATATTTGCGTCTTCAAAATGCCATAACTAGTAATCCATCTTGATTTTATTCAGGTTGAAGCCTGGCCTCCTTCCCCTTTTAACTGAAAGCCATAACTAGTCATTCGGTTTCTTCATTATCAAGCGTCCTTATCTGCATAGGCGTAGTGTGTTCTGTTTCTTGTGAAGGTGACTTTGTTTTGTATTTATTAAATATATTTTATTATATTTATTAAATAGACTGTTATATTTATTAACTTTAATATATAAGATAGAGTTGGCCGATACTTGTTTTTCAAAATACATTATCATAGATTTTCATCACATTCACACTTTATTGTGAGATAATTAGTTGACCTAGTCATTAAACTTAGGTATAAATGTTCGTTAAAGTCAGGTATAACTGTCATTAATTAGTTCCTAGAATATTATTAGTTTCTAGGTAGATCGTAATATTTCAAAGAGCATATATAAATCACAATGTATGTAGAATTCAGTTTGTTAGTGAACACGGTTGAAAAAGATACTGTGCAGCGAAACACGTGTTGCTGATTTGTTAATCTGTTCTAGTGAAAATCTTATAATAAAGTGTTTTTCAAAATACTTTATTTTAAAATAGTTTTTGAGGTAAGTAAACAACTGACAAATGTCTGGTTAATTTTTCGGGCTGTTTCGGCAGCGCTTGGTTCAATTTGAATTCGTAGAGAAACAGGCAAAACATTATGATTTGGAATAAAATGAACAGCGTGAATGTGTTGAGTGTAAAATTCTCTATCAATCAGTATACACCACAACACAGTAGAATAAATATTTATTGAGATATGGAGCTACAAAAACACACAATATTAAAACGGATAAAAATGTTGAATTTACCTAATAATCGGGATGGCTCGCAATTCAAATTTATCTCCTAAGCTTCCTAGTAGGGCCTGTTTGTAATTTATTTATGCTCAACGGTTCTGAAAGTGGCGAAACAATAGGTCGATTATTATGTTCTGGTTCAACCACCTTCGATAATATTTACCGCAGCTCTAGACAAAACGTGGAGTATCAAAACTGCTTATACAAAAATCAAATCAACTTTCAACAACTAAATCTCCAATACTCTTAAAAAAATGCAATATCCCCATTTATTGAAAAAACATGAACACTGTTTCTTTCTATTCAATACGAATGTTACCCACCTTTATTAATTCGGGTCAGTTAATTCTATATTGGGATAATCATCGTAAGCAAATTATACTATTTTCGGCAACCTCGTGAGACATCGTTACTCAATGACAATTTATTTGCACTTGTAACTTTGAAGGAGCATTTTATTTTTGAAATGTCTATTTTTATAACGATTTTTTCACCCGACTGCCTACGTTCTGTGTTTTTTACCTTTGAGTTATTTAGTGCGTCGATTAGCTACGTCACCGACGATTCTTATATGAAAAATCCCGATGATGATGATGATGAAAAGCGTCTTCAGATCTGAAGGGTTTCAACTCTCCCCACATTCAGAAAATCCTTACAACATTATTAAAATTCTTACAAAGTACAAAAATATCCTTCAATTCGATTTACGATAAATAATAACAATTTGAATTGGCTTGCAATATTTAATTTTTTCAGATGACACAATAACTGAATCAGTAGTTTTTAATAATAACAATAATATCAATATTCGCCTGTATTTCTCACATATATTGTACACTTCATATTTGTGACCATGAGCTAAAAAAACAGGAGAAAAGGGCGGAGTTCCTTTTATCATATACTTTGACAGTGGATGACAGTCCAAACCTAGAGACACTTCGGACAGAGCGGGCAGAGGAGAGAAATGAGAAAGAGTAGATAAAGAGAGGAGAGCGGACAAAGAAGA